ATTAGCTAGCTAATAGAGAGAAGTGTCCTCTCTTATATCTTCGTCCTTGGTTTACCAGTGCTGCTGCTATATATGTTCATTTTACCCGCTGATATAATAACTCATGCATGCTCGCATACATCAGCATATATAATAACAAGTACTCGTCCTACTAATCATGCATCATCATACAACTTCTATTCGTTATTAATAATAAGTCATACGATCATCATCCTCATAGTCATCGAACCCGACCCTACATAATTGTTCTTAACACATGATCATCAGTATCAGGTAGGACCTAAACACCCTTAAGGTAAAATAGCATAAAATAATATAGACCCTGACTCTCCATTATGAAGAATGGAGATCATCCTGTCTCCAATTTTTGCCCTTCGCTGAATGTTGCTTCCAAGAAGCTCCTTACGACTGTCCATACAGTTTTTCCATTCTTTGATTGTCATGTCTCCACTTCTTTTAGAAACCCGGTATGGACAGTTCATATTCGTAGGAAGACCTGGTTGTATGTTTAAAACATGAAGGCTATTGTGTGTATACATCAGATGAGGCACACAATTATTCAGGATTATCTGTTGAAAAACATAGTAATAACTTCGTAGTTAGCAATGATATGATGTACTAGTTTTAGAAGTGTGCGAAAAGATGCACGTATGTCGTAATAGTAAAAAATCTTACCAGGGTATCTCCATGGTAGTTACCGTAGTTCAACACGTGCACTAGTGGCACGTATTGACCATAATGTTGAGGAGTTCGATTGTAGACATTGTAATTCTCAAGATCAGTACAAAATGCGACCAGATGATTTTTCTCCTGATAAGTTAGTTCGGAGCCTTCGGTGTAGTAGGTTCTGTCTACCATCTTCCGCACATTCTTTGAAGAATGAAAATAAGCTGTCAATGAAGAATAAGTTGTCAACTATTTTGAAATAAATAATATAAATTACTTAATAACTATGTTAAGCTCACATGGGGGAAGAATTGGAGGTGTATCCATAAGGACGAAAATCGTAGGTCTCTCTTGCTTGATTGTAGGATCACCAAGATCCATGGTCACAAGCATACCCTCATCAAAACCATACATCTTGCAAAGTGCTTCCCAATTTTTGCAACCAAAATGGGTTACACTCTGAGCATTGTACAGCTTTACTTGAAAATCCACACCATGATGGGTACTTAGGATAATTTTTTTGGTTTCGAAACTTTCATGGTCTTCAAAACCCATCCTCTCCAAGACATGGCGTCTTGCAAATCATGGGATAAGCTAGTCGAATTGGAAAAGATGAAAAATATTGTCATGATTAAAATAATTGAAGTCATGAGTAATTACGAAAAAATGTTGCAGATACCTAATCATCGGTTGCGTACCGTATGAACATCGAAGGTCTCCTCGAGCTTAATGCTGAAGCGACGATCTTCGTCCAGCTTAATGAACCTGTCGCAGATACCTCGGTCGTCGTGGCACCAGTCGCACTCCCCGGGACCGTTTTCGTCGTCCGAGTACGACATTTCCGGCCTATGTTCATAATTCAAATATTAAACTAGATTATTAATCACGGATTGACTATCGGTGATGTACGTAGCTCCTCCTTTTCATTCCCGAGTGCATTATTACATAAAATTGTCTAGCACACGGGAATGAAGGAGAACTTATCCAATATGAGCATTCAGTCAGCAAAACCAAATCATAAAATAAGCAAAACCAAATCATAAAATAAAGCAGTATTCAAATTAGCATGCATTCAATAATTATAAGCAAAAGTACATCATCTCTTGGAGTCCGTACATCGTCGAATATTATCACTAATATAGCATCACTAATACAACTAGAACCGTAGCGCCCGACGGGTATCGGCGCGGGCGGTGGACAACCAAAGATAAGGAACCATCACAGGATCATAGCTCCAGTGAGATCCTTAGAGAACCTGCCAGGTATTGTCGAACCTGCCCTCCAATGCAACCACGTAGCGACGGACGTGCTCGTCCTCCTCGCTGACACGGTGACGTACCACCTCCGCGGTGTCCGGAAGCCTCGGCACCGTCACTAGACCACGTGACCGTCATCAAACAAGGATCGGGTCAATAATGGGTTGCCTCCTCACCAACTTACGTCCCCCGGAAGGTAGCACCTCCCAATACCAGCCCGGCGGAGCCCAGTCCCGAACATGGCCCTGATCTAGCAAGCCTCCACCGCCGAGTCGACGACGACGAGGATGCGGGAGAGGCATCGCCGACGTCGATGCGGGAACTACTTCTATATATAGTTAAATAAAGTAGTTTTATTAATTAAATCAACTAGCTACTTCAACTACTAAACACTTACTATAAATAAATAAAGTAGTACTTACTAAAAACAAACTACTTCTATATATAGTAAAATAAAGTAGTTTATTAAATCAACTAGCTAGTTCAACTATATATGAAGTACTTACTATAAATAAAATAAAGTAGAATTACTAAAAATAAACTAGTATTTTTCTAACTAATTATATTAAACACTTACTCTTCTTATTTTTTTCATTTTTCTAAATACGTACTATGAACAAAAAAATCATTAAAATTCTATAAACAAAATTACAATAGAAAAAAATCATAAAGATTCTATGAATAGAAAATCTATGAACTACACATCTAAATTACTACACATCCAACAAAAAATCTATGAACTACAAAAAAATCTAAAAAAATCTAACAAAATCTAACAAAAATCATAAAAAAATCTAACAAAATCTAACAAAAAAAATCTATTAACAGAAAAAAAATCTAACACAATATGAACAAATTAATTACACAATCCAAATTAATTTTCTATCTAATTTATCTAACTCATCTAATTAGCATTAATTAATATCTAGCTAATTCATCTAACATTTGACATTAATATCTAATTTTTCTATCTAATTTATCTAACAGAGGAAAATACACGGGGCCGGGGGCGTACGGGGCGGCGACGTATGGGGCGGGGTGCCGAGGGGGACAGCGACGGCGCATGGCGGGGGCGGCGATGGGCGAC